GAGGATTAGCGAAAAATGGTTCTTGGACTGGACTTGTTGGAAAAATCGTAAATCAGGTGAGTGACTTTAAATCTGTAAAAAACTGTATAGGCATACAAATAGCTTTTTTCTTGGAAAGTAGATATATAGGGTGATATTTTTATCTTAAGATAATGAAATACGTTAATTGGATTTCGTTAATTTGGAGAAAAGTTTGGACAAAAGTTGTAGAGTTTTTTCGAAAGGGCAATCAATTGGTGACCTTAGACGTTACGTCTAAGGTCACCAATTGATTGCTCCTTCGAATTTGACTTTACCCTTGATTTTGACTTCAAAGTGATTTGAGAGTTAAGTCCTTTTTTTTTATATGGGAATACATATTTTTTCCTTGCCAAAATAAAGAGCTGAAAATTTCACAATCAGATGTACACTTTACCTTGCGATCTAGGTCAAAGGTGAAGGTTTTTTTTTAAAGTGAAAAGCTTTTCTTAATGAAAAACCATACTTTTTATTACTGGTATAGAGAGAAAAAAATTTACATTTTTTCACAACCCTGTTACTTTGACCTTTACAAGCAATCACTACTTTCAGCATTTTAGCAATACCAAGGCACCACCCAGCATGCAGAAAAAAATGAACTATTATGGCCAACACAATTCAGATTTGAGTTTGCCCATTCATCAAGATTATTATTAACTAATTTTTACATAAGAATTAAACTTTAATCAACTTCAATCATTTTGATTATTTAAGCACATCCACTATTTTAACACATCTCGATTAATTGCCATAAGCGATTTAAGTAATACAAATACTGTTTGTAATTGGTCCTTGAGAGTTACTAAATATCGTTGATGCTTTATGGCAGTCATGAATGGTAATGAATGGTCATTTCATTTAAGAGCTGATCACGGATGGTCACATTTGAAAATGACCTTGGAATAACCTACAGAGGTGAAATTCACAGGTACTCAATGTCATGGACAATTGTGAAATTTCCCACTCTTTCAATTGCTGGGGGTGAAATATGTATTCCTATTTAAATAAAGGAAAACCTTCAAATGGTTTAGAAGGTCAATGTCACATCCAAGGTCACCGATTGTTTGCTTTTTTGAAATTGTACAACTTTAATTTAAATTTTTTTTTTAAATAATAAGATCGAATTAAGGTATTTTATTATCTGAAGATAAAAAAATTCACTTTGTATATGCATGAATCAAAAAATAAGAAATTATGCATAATTGTACAAATACCAGTTATCCTATGTGAAGGTATAGGTGCAGAGTTAAAAAATATCTGGTAATCGAAATGCTGTTAATCCACTGTGTTTCAAGAATTTAGAAATGTGATAATTTTAAAATGTCATAAATAAAATTACCATATAATAGAAAACTTATAAAAAAGTGAATGCTAAATACAAAAAATGTTGAGTAAAATATAAAATGCTTTTGTTCTTTTCTTACAGTACGGAGTAAAGCATGGAACTGTATTACGATTATATTTCTATTGCCAAATGTCAAAGATTCTAGTACATTATGAATCAAAGATTAATTCAAAATTACAAAGTCTGATAGGAACAAATAGTTACAAAGCATCACATCTCAAATACAATGGTAATCTGAACATATTTATTCTGAACGACCAGTAAACCCAATTATAGTTTAAAAAAACAGGTTTATTTATGATGTATAATTATTTATAATAGTTTTAAAATTATTTTACTTTTATGTTTTAACAAAAATAAATCAGTGTATTTTCGTAATTTTTACATTACAGTCGAGTACTTTGTTTTCTATTCAATTAATTCATTTACTTATTGTATTAAATTAATATATCATTTGAATAATTCGTTGTTTGTTAAACATTAGTTGTCGTTGTTTCTTTGGAAATAATTTGCTAATACAAACTCCTTGTTCGGTTTCGAGACTTACCCCTGTATAGAATCTACAGAATTTATAAAATGGCAAAGCAACTATGTTTTTTCAAGTTTTCTAATAAGTTTCTCTGCGTGGAGGCAGGTTTTTTCATTAGACGTAATGCATTTTATGTTTGTTGCCAGTAATAAAGAGTGTCCGTTAAAAAAAATAAATTGCAATACGTTACACAGGTTCTACCAGGAAAAGAGAGCCTGAGTCAGCAGTCTAGTCAATTTGATAATAAATACTTACTCGGGAATCGTATTTCTCCCTGACTTCACATTCCTGGATTCTATACAAGAGCATACAGTTGTCCTTGATGAACTAATCACCAGTAAGTCTAATTTGGCTGTAAATTGTTTTATAATCAACATATTTATTACAACAATAATATAATCAAAATGTGAAAATACTGTATTGCAAGTAGAAATACAAAGACTATTTAAAACTTTCTGAACGAACAAAATTTATAATGATGTAATAAACGCTTTAATAAAATTATTTACGATCAAATTAAACTAAGAAAATGATCAATATTTATCATTAATTTTTATACCTAAATTTATGATNCTGTTAAAAAAATAATAATAATCATGTTTAAAATTGTCGGAACTTCAAAATATAATGATTTTAATTAAATTTAAATTCGTATTAAAATTTTAATAAAATTCCACTCCATATTTTCTAATTTTAAAATTCTTCATCAACCTTTTCCCCTTTCTTACTCCTTTAATAATCCTGTTTATGGTTTAAAATCTAGAACACTGTACGTGGGTCCCTAATTCAAATTGAAGCCCAGGCCCAATTTGAATTAGGGGCCCCACGAACAGTGTTGAATTCAGACTTTTTACTTCGGGGAAATGTCTTCGGGCGATATCTTTTTATAAAAGATTAGTTTGGAGGCCCCTATTAGTGAGGCCCCAGGCAATTACCCCTTTTGCTCATAGGATAAAGCACTGATAATTTATATCACTATTAAATTCTTAATTATTTAATATTATTTTAATTTTTTTTCATATTCTTAAATGGGAACGTTAAATAAAGCTCCATATAAACAAAATTAATTGTTAATTAAATTGATCTATAATTAAAACTTAAACGTATTTCTAATTGATATTATTACGTATTTACAAGTTAAGTTTTTCTTTAGTTAATTAATAAATAAAACTTCTTTGTAAATTCTTTATGTATTTATTATTATTATTATTTTCTAAACGATCACATTCTTTTTTGACGTTTTATCATTTTCTTTACGGTATCCATCTGCCATGTTTTGTCAGTTTTTCTTTTTTTTCTGCACAGAAACTTCTTCTATACATTAAAAAAGATCTTCGACCTTCTTATTCGTCTTCTTCTCACAGAATTCACTAGTTCCTTCCAGCAAAAATTTTGGCTGAGTACACTAAACTCACTTGGAATATAACCTAAGTATATTCCTCCTTTTTTATTTATTTATTATTTTTACATTCTCAGCTGTTATTTATATATATATATGTAACAGAAGGAAAGTATGGCGAAGGTCCAAAAAAAAAATGACCACCCTTAAGATTTTTAATAACTCCTGTGCCTTTTGTCGAATTTTGGTGGTTAAAAGTCGAGAGAATGAAGAGCTAGAAGGAATCACGCGTATCGTATCTCGAGTGGTGTCGGAATTAATAATGATTTTACTCGTTATTAACGTTTACAATTCTTATGAAACTTTCAACTTAGAAGCCGGGAAAGTCATGCAACTCGTTGCTGGAATTTTTATTATTATATTAACAGAGAAATAATATCGTTTTCTTTACGTTTCTGCCTTGGAATTAATATCTTTTAGTTTTATTGGAATCAACTTTCTTGCAAATTGTACCTAGTTAACTTTTTTAAAGTTTAAAATATAATGTAAACTAATTATCGTAGTGTTTATGCTAATGAAGACCATATTACTTTACTGGTTAATTTTTTGTTTTACTTTTTTTTCTTTATGTTTTGTCTCATCTTGTATAATCAATGTCCTAAATGGTCGCTGACCTGTTCTATCTTACTTTTTATTTATTTATTTATTTTTTAAACCTCGTCTTTCACTGGTGCGTTGGCGTTATCTAAAGATTTTTCTTCTGTGTGTGTGTGTGTATGTCTGTTTTATCTTTCTCTGGAAACTATTGCACTTTCTATTTATCGAGATTGTTTTGATGTTCCTTCGTCAATATTGAAAATTAATCCAATTGAAAAGTATTTTTTCTTTTTGTTTTCACTTTTTTTACTGATAAATTCTGCATATTTTAAATTACTTATATTTCTTTTTCCTATGGTAATTTCTCTCAATTTCTTTAAGAATTTCATCCGTGAATCTTGTAACTTGCTTCGTAGTTCGCATTGAGATATTTAAATAAGGAAAAAGGGAGGGAAAAAATGAAACACCAACGAATTTTGGTGAAAGAAGTTAAAAATCTTAAGAATTTTTTCCTTTTATTTTTGTTAAAAATATAATAAGATATTCCGAATTACTGAACTTAATTCTTTTACTTGAACGTTTTGCATTCATTTTCGCTTTTATGTTTCCTGATAAGTGTTTTAAAAAGAGTAAGCGATAAATTCATAAACTAATTTCTCGTTAAGTTTAATATCAAAAGTATTTTCTTTTATTATTTATTTAAATAGGAAGTCGATTTTACTGCAATTGGTCTGGCAGTCACTCCTCTGCGCTACCAGTTTATGAAGTATTCATCAGTATTCGGCTTTCAATCGATCGGATTTGTGATCAAAACTCCATCAGTAATTTCAGACTTGAATTCAATTACAAAGCCTTTCTCATTGAAGGTAAGTAACGTCCAAGTTAAATTAATTTGAAAATAAATGCGTGATATCTGTGACATCTGCAGATATGGATCGCTTCATTGCTGGCCATTCTTCTATTCGGATTTATATTACACAAAGTGATGGAGAGAGATTTCATAAGAGAAAAAACAAAAATACGTTGGTCTCGATATAAAATATATTGGGAATTATTTTCCACTCTTACGTACCAAGGTAAAATTTATTTAACTGAAATTAGTTATGTTATAATAGTTTCTACGATGTAATGTGAGATGGTCATTAAAATTGACATTTACTACAATTATAGGAATGAATCTGAAAGCAGTAAAGCGATTTTCATCAAGATTCATGATAGGCATTTGGTGGCTGTCGATTATTGTGTTAGCATCCTGCTATGGCGGAACGTTAATGTCTTACATGACATATCCTTTAACAGAATTTTATCCCAGAAATTTTAAGGAACTGGCAGAATCTGTTCAGAAGAATAAATATGCATGTGGAACATCAGCAGGAAATATCATTTGGACCGATATGCTTGTAAATACGGTGTTTCGTATATTATATATATATATTTCCTTAAAGATATTTTAATAATTGTATCGTTCTTGTTGTATTTTTTAGCACTCGAAATCAGAAAATACCAAAATATTAAAAGATCATATTTCATCAAGTAACAACTTTATACGTCTGCCATATGCATTGGATCGAGTACAAGAAGGACGTTTCGCTTATATATTGCATCATTATGTAATAAAAAGTTTTATCAAGAAAGAAAACAAACATAAATATATGTTTTCGAAAGATTCTCTGTTTATGCACCTTCTTGCTCTTCCTATGAGAAAAGGATTTCCATTTGAAAAAAACATAACTACAATGTAAGAACAATTAGTTTATTTAATTAACTCCATTTTTTAATAACAACTCAACCTTTATTTTTTTATACAGTGTAACTCGTATTTTTGAAGCAGGAATTGCTCAAAGAATATTTCCTTCGGATGATTTGGAGTTGCCAAAATCTTCGGAATTCCGAGCTTTGACATTAAATAATTTTTTAAGTGCTTTAGTACTACTCGTAATTGGCTATCTGTTATCAATTGTTTGCTTTGTGGTTGAAATTATACATGCAAATTTTACTAGCATTATGAGAAAATTGTCTTATTAGCAAAAACGTCTTCGAATTTATAACTGAATTTCTGTTTTACTTGTTGTAGACATAGAAGAAAAGGAAATTGAAAATATATCCTTCACTCAATAAAAAATACAGTTATAAATTTATTTCATTACAAAAAGCTTTGCAAAAATATTAAGTTAATTTTTGCTTCTCTATGAATATGAATTTAATTTCATTATTAGATATATTTTATAAATTTTTTTGTATTTTATATTTGTTTATAAACTGTATTGTGGTTTTTATGTGTTTTTTCAGTATTACTGTACATTCTTGTTTTTATTTATAGTGTTTACTTGTGTGCATAAATATATATGTTATAAGTTCATAAAAAAACACACACACGCTCTGTTTTATGGGAAACATTAAGTATCATGCATCACATTTTCAAGGAAAAACAAAAAATAATGAATGAATTCTTGAGATTATTTTACTTCTGCATTTAGTGACATTATTTTCTTTTGACCACTCTTGCTATTATATGTAGATATTGCCCAAAATATTGTAACATGTTTTATTATTGGTTTGTGATATCATGAGTTACGTCTAATGTAATCAGAAAAAACTGTGTAAAGTAGGTGGTCGGTTAACCTATCACCCACTGTATGTTGTTTTCAATTGTCCTTAGATTGCACATTCTGACCATGCCAACCTTCGGGATGTATCTATGTATGGTATGCAAATATAAATAACGAGTTGAAACTATTTATTCTAAAGATATAGTCATTGTCATTTTATTAAATCATGCGTAAGTAACACTTGTGTGTTTTCGATTGAAAAATTGTAGCTTACATGAAATGTGGTTTACACTGTACTAAAAGGTTCACATAATTAAAAGTGTTTTTGATGTAAAAATAGTCGTAGTTCGGTTGTTATCAATACATCGCACTTACTTCATTGTATCTTAAGAAAACAATGGAAATAAAGGACTGGGTTTCCGTTCACAGTTTTCCTGGGAGGCATTTTTGGTTGCTGCATACATACCTATTGCATTTCGATTAAACCAAACTGACTGAAGCATTTCTGAAGTCTTAGATATGTACTCTACAACTTACAATCACTGCAATAGTTTTTTGGATATAGTGCACAGACAAAAAGCTTTTACACGTAGCTTTTTCAGACAGTGGTTCATACATTAATTTGAATGATCCTGATTCCGTTGGATAACAAGTAAATACCGAATTGTCTCATATGAGACACTGCAATCCATATGACTACAGTACATTCATTTCATTTATATGAGTAACAGTTTAGGCTAAGTTTACTTTTTTTTTTATTAATAAAAATCAACTGTTACTAACGTAAATTTGCATAATACATTAGAAACGTGCATAAGTAACACTTGTGTGTTTTCGATAAGAAAAATGTTGCTTACCATTTAAAATATAAAGAATCATTTTACCTTAATTTTTTTTGTAAAAACATTTTTATGAAAACTTTTGATGACAACAAAGATACTTTCCAGCACTACAACATGCAGTGTCATGTTTCGTTTATCTACAGTAGATTTCTATCCATCATATTCCAAGATGTAGAAAATATTTAAATTCCAAAGTTCTAAATCAGTCACGTTCTTTTTACATTGTCAAAACTGACATATACTATTTGACATGAAGAGATTTACATTCATCCTGATATGCTGCACTCTACAGTCACAAAGCATGATCACTTCTTTTATGTCTTTTTTATCGTGTCATATCTCGAGATTGTGGACAGATATTGTAAATAAACTCTCTGTACACACTGTAGTCATTTTCTTTGCTTTCCAAGGTCTATATAAGAAAAGCAGGACAGGCGTGACCTACTTCTTGAGCCACTATTTTCGGGATTTTCGAGTCTCATGTTTTAAGCAAACTTGTACGAGCAATCAGTTTTATACGACATTAATTAAACTAAAATTGCATAAATCCAGTGATTTCTAGTCAAAAATATAATAACAATTTCAGATGATTATGCAACCCCAATTTTATGTACAGTTTTAATCAAATAGTTAAAAAAAAACAATCATTTATATCCTTCGCTGTCGTGATTGAAATTAATTAAATAGGTGCTAAAACTGATGCAATTAAATATATAGGCACTTCGTAAAGTGATGCAATAACATCAAAAAAATTATAAAAAAATATAATAAAGAATATAATAATATAATATAACAAATTTATAATTATTTTTAAAGTATGATTGGTTATAAAATTAAGATAAAATTCAATAGTATTATTAATAAATGTTGTTAATGTAATGCTCATTTTATAATAAGTAATAGATCTGTAGATATATTTTTAATTTATAAATAGCTTTAAAAAATTCCAAAAATAAAATTTTAAATTAAATTATTTGACAGTAAACTGACAAATAATACTTGAATAGAATACAATGCATTTAAACAAAATATGAATATTTGTTTCCATAGCAATATAATGCTAAAATTTTCTTTTTTATAATTAAATAGTCAATTCTTTAATTAAATAAAACAAAAAAATATCAATTCAATGTTGTTTGTGCATAATTTTTTCTTTACATGTATTCATTAATAATAAAATTTAAAGTTTACTACTAAAAACTAATGTAAAAATATTAAGTTTTTCGCATTATATTTGATATATATAATGTGAAAAAAATATTAAATCATCACATTTTAAATCCACGCCACAGCGATATCAAATGCACAATTCAGCTAAATTATTTTTACTAGTACAGTAGAGCATCATTTATCCAAATCAATTGGGGACTGGGGTCGTTCGGATAACTTATTTTTCGGATAACCAATTATGTACAAAAAAATATATTAATTTATCCCCTGTTGAAATTTTTTTCCATTGCGTGTGTCGCTTTGTGTTGAATTTTCGTCGCCTAACGAAGACTATTGTATCGTTAAAAATTATTCTTTTATTTTGTACAGACAAAATAAATATATTGAAAAATATAAAAACAATAAAAAATTATACTTCAGAAGTTAATTTAGTATGAAAAACGTAAAATATTTGAGTTGCCAAAGACATAGCCAAAGATTACAGTGCCACAGCATTGGCGAAAATTTAAATTTGTTGACTGGAATTCCTTCGGATAACCGATATTCGGATAAATGACGCTCTACTGTATTCTGAAAATGGATGTACTAACACACAAGAATTTTAAAGGGTCCTGATCCTTACATTTTTTTCTCCAGAAAACACAATTTATGTTATTCAAATTAATTTTTAAAAACTAACAGCCAATCATATTTTCTTTAAAAACTAGCAACCAATCGTTTTTTAAAACTCCAATCGGATATTATCTACAGATGAAAAAAAAACTCAAATTGTTGATGGAGGCACATGTTTATCCCGTTACAATGAACAGAGAACAGTGTTTATCCTGTTAGGATGAGCAAAGAACACGACACGGGGTTGACACGACTTAGTTCACGGTACCGACTGTACAGAAGAGGGCGCATTTTTCAATAAATTTTGTAGTCATTGTTTTATCTTTTTTTAAATTCGATTTGTATTATTATTTTATATTAAATTCATATACAAATTAAATATAATCTATACTGTATTAGTCTTTATTTCGATATAATTCAATTTGCATCATTACTTTATATTAAATTCTTCTCGGGTCGGCACTTATATCTCAGAATGCATCGTTACTTTATGTTAAATTTATATACTAATTAATTTTTTAGTATATCCAACATCTTGATAGTAGTATACATTAGATACACTTGTATCTAATGTATACTACTATCAAGATGTTGTATACAGCATTTGAGCGACCTCAGTAAACGTGAAGTCTTTGGTGTGTACTGTTTTTTGCAAAAAGCTTCTAAAGTAATTAATGTATATATTACATCTGGCCTGTTGTATCTTGAACCCTAATTGTTTTCAAAATAAACATTTAATAAGACACTAAAATCAGCAATAATATAGTTGGATAAAATCAGTTACTTTTCTAACCAATAAAAGTAATTTCAGACATATGAGTTAAATTGTTGTGTACTTTAAATCCTAGGTTACGCGAGTTTAAAAATCATTCAAAAACAGTTCAATCACAAGTGTCTTTTTTATATCTATTCCCGATCGAAATATCTTGTCGATCCCTCTTCAGTCTACAGATTATAAAAGCGGTTTCGTACATTTACAGTTAAAATTTAGAACATAAACATAGAATCAATAAATACCAAATCTTATACAATTTTAAATATTTTTAAATTGGATAATATATGTGTTTGATTCTTGGTTATATTTTATTTTCTTAAAAAAATAAATATACCTATTTTTTCGTGTTTTTTTTTTCATTAAACCAGGCGAGTGTTGCTTCCCAGTAGGTGACGATCTCACCTACTAGGAAGCGACAATGTGGTTGAAGCTGTAGCACGCTAGCCTGTTTACTTTAATTAACAAAAAGATATATTATTTCTGAAATTTGTCTTGTCTGCTGAAAAGGTTGGTCACCCCTGATCTACATATAAAGATTATACCTAGAAAATAAGGTAATTGTTTATCAATTGTATTTAGACAAATTTCTGTGAGTGTCTTATAACTGAACCGATACTAATGTCTTTCAGCGATAATACTTGTTGTCAATTTTAAAATAATTA